CTTAGCAGTACGGTCTTTGCTACCCTCAAAACCGTATTTATATATATATATATATATATTGGTTGTAAAAAGAAAAGTACCATCACTAATCTAAATTTTTCCATGATTATTGAAATTTAATGATGTTCTTATTTTGCTTGTTCCAGGTGCAGATGCAAAGTCTGGAGCGCAAAGGTGAGCATCATCAGTGGAGAGAAGCAAAAGAATTAGAAAGGGCCAAAGAAATTTTTACAACTTTAAATAAAGGATAAATTTCTAAGGTGTTATTGGAGTATCAGTGTTTTACAATGTTGCAATGTTTTACAAGTGACATTTTACAATTAGTCCTCCATGAAAGAATGGCTAAGCGTTGGTTCAAGTTCTGTTGCCGTGCATAGCTCCTTCACTGCTTCAACTATGTGCTTCTGAAATACTGGTGATAAAAAAATCACAAGGTTCGATAAAACAAGGAAGAAGGGTGCGAGTAATGATTCCTGCCAAGGGCAAAAATAAACGGAGCTTTCTAACGATGTACGACCTCTCGACCACCCAAGTAATGACACTTGTCAACGAGTGTCACTGCTCCATCTTCAGGTGGTCTGGGCAATATTACAGGCAGATCAGAGGGTTGGCCATGGGTCAGCGGTTGGCACCAGTACTCGCCATCGCCTACATGTCTAAGATAGAAAAGCCGTTGTTGGACCGCCGCCCTATCCCTATACTGTCGTTACATAGACGACTGCTTTGTCGTTTGCTCAACAGAGAGGGAAATGGACACGTGTTTCAACCTCCTAAACAACCAAGCTGCTAATATCAAGTTCACAAGGGAAAAGCCCAAAGAGCGCTGGCTCCCTTTCCTGAACGTGCAGGTCCAAAACCCGTGGCCCTTACAAACACCTTCAAAACTGTTATATTTCGAATTGCATCCAGTCGTGAAATAACCTTTTTGATCTGCGGATAGAAAATAGTTGTGCCATGCTCTAAAGAAGGGCGAATGTTGATGAATTGAAAAAAAAATCAATGATTGATAAGCCCTGATAAGGAGGCACGGGTCTTTGGTGTAGAGAGTGCTAAGCAGTACAAAAAGCCTAATTCTGCTTGTTGGCTAACCCCTAAATGGGAGTCGAAGCAGAGTCTCCCATCAACTATAAAACCTAGATCTCTAGCTTCATTTACTCTATTAGCTCTACACCACCTAAGCAGTAATTGTGGCTGGGCCGACCTTTGCCTAGTGAAGCAACAAAGAATCCGCTTCCGCTGCCAATGCCCCATAAATCACGTCGTCACCAAAAATTCAAGCTCTTTTGAAGCAACAGAGATTGGAACGTGAATCACAATCCTCCAAGACTCACTACCTTCAATTTGAATTATGAAAAATGCAGAAATGATCAAAACCATGATACTTCTCGTACAAAAACCACCTGAATTTATATTCGAGATTGAAAGTTTCCCCGAAATGACACACCATTCTATGGTTTTTCCGCATAACCCTTTCAGATTGATAAGAACTTTGTTGGGCCAACGTTTTTGTTCGGCATAATAGAAAACAAGCGAAGTGAACTGAAAATGAAGATTCTGATGCAACTCTATGCGCACTTTTCTCTTTCAGAGAACGCAACCCTTCTAACCTGACTTTTTGCCGTAAGTCGCTGTTTTTAAGCTAAAATCTGAGCTTCAATTATGGCCTTTTTCATACGTAATTCTTCGTAAATGAATGTACAAATGTGAAAAACCACAAGACTTGAGCTTCAAAATAAATATGTATGTGTTGAAATCCTAATGAAAATTCCTAATGAATCAAAAAGGAATTTGTTTGTTTACAAAAAGACTTTTCCAAGCTCCAATAAAACAATCTCCTGAACGTTTGCACTTCCATGCCCTTCGTTTGGTCACCATACGTTGGGTGTTTTTTGAAGCTACATATTCTCTTGTTATAGAACAAATTTTGAGCGTTTGACACCAACAGCTTCGACTGTGTGGCACGCTGCACACTCGCCTTGATTCATTGTTGCGAAGGCACTCAAAACCTATGCCGTATTGCTATACCACGCGAAATGGGAACAGTTTGAATCTCCTTGCCACGGTCAAAGCCGAAGTCACAAACACAGTCAGTTTCATTTAGATTGCATCAAATCAACATGCTCGTCATTCTCCTGGTGACATCGAATAAAGCACTCGTTTTACTGCGTTATGAGAAAACCTGAGTTGATTGCGGCTAATAGATGGGCAGCGGTTAACCAGAAAGATCGTTCAGGAGGTGGAGTGCTTTTTCAAAACGGTCCATTGCTTTTTATAGGGTGAGAGGGAGCTCATTTTTTTCCTGAACGACCCTCTAGTGGTCGTAGGTCGTAAAAGGCGTTATAAAGTGGTATAGGATTCGATCCATTTTTTGCAATTTGTTGGTGTTTCAAAACTCGCGAAAAATGATGTCATCGTGAACAGAGTGACATGCGCGTCGTGGTGAGGGAGGTTATATGACGCAAACGCTAAGCACAGATTTTCCTATTCCTATTATTCCTGAGGAGCACACTAAATAGCTCCTATGCTCAAAGCTTCATAACTGCGCAAATCAAGATTTCGAACAGTCGGACCGTGGGGAGATCAGTAGTCCGTTAGGTGCAAGGTAGATGGTCAGGAGGCAATCTCCCTTCATCACCCTTCAGAAATCAGAATCCAGTGAAGAAAAGAGGAATAAAGGCGACTGATAGTAATCTGGATTGCAAATAACAAATTACTGACGCCAAGGATTCACTTTGCATGAGGTGGAAGACAGAGGTGGAACCTCACAGAGGTGGAAGTACAACGCCCATGTTCGACGACGTCGACGTTGAATTCCAAAGATCGCCCTTCGAAGTACTGGAAGAAAGCAACCAATGGTAGCGTACGAGTGAGCTCTCAACGCCTCGCATCAGATCAGAATGGCAGCATAGTACTACAAATTTGAGTCTCATTATAAAAAAGCGCCGAGCATGGGCGTAGTTGGGCGAATTCTCATCATTAGTTCAGATGAGTAGGTCCTATTTAAGCATGCGTCGAGGGTTTCGAAATAATGAGAACATTTTATCCCTTCATTCTTTGCTGGTTGCCTATTCGCACTGTCGCTGGCATTTCACGTTGCATAAGAGCTAATAGTGTGGCTGGCGAGATGGTTGCCAAGTACTTCAATCAGCACAATTTTTGATCATGATGATGACTGTTACTAGTATTCGAGACGTTCCAGTTCTTTTTCTGAACAGGAGTGAACGAACCAGTCCTTTAGTAAAGGCATCCCTTTCTGCACTCGGGGTGAATCATGTAGAAATATGATTGTTCTCTTATGTTGGCTGAAGCGCACAATGTCTAAGTAAGCTGTCACTTCGCTGTCTAGGCACCATCTCGCTCGTCGTGTATAGATATAATAGGATCATGGAGAGCTTTTTAAGGCATACCATCGTCATTTCCAGGCACTCAACACAAGCTGATTTTGCGCATCACAAACGCGTATCAAAATTCATCTTCATGCCAGTACACAAGGAAGTTGGACTGCGAGAAGTCATATCGAACAACAACACCATAGTTTTACGCTAGAGGAGTATTCACATTTAAAACGCAAATGCAGCCTCCGTCAGATTTCTCGCACAAATGATTTAATAGCCTTATGTGACTTCTTTGAGTGATGCAACAGATTCAGAAATACAACGAGAAGTGGTTGTAAACATATGGTTCTAAGCACCATTTCTCTGGAGTTTGTCGTTCGTTGTTTATGCGCACTTTCATCATGATTTCAATGGTGTCATTAATTTCGCTTTAGTCTTCTTGATCGATCACGAAACTTAGCGTAGCGCGAGAAGTAGTTCAGCGAAATCTCCAAAAAAAAAACTCCCGACAAAAATTGTTTCCGCGGCATTGACTGTAGGCGCATTTTTGCCATCATGACATTGTTTCCACTGAACCTTCCCTCAGCCATACCGAAGCGTTGATAATGGTTTTGCGGTAGCATAGGAAAGTTCTACCAAGGTTGAAGTGCGCAGCATGCCATCCAAAAATCAATGTTATGGCGCAGGACTCGCCTGAAAGAGGCAACGATGCAATCTTCGAGAATCTCTAATAATACAAAGAAGTAGTCTAAGATAAATACGTAATCCCTCACTTCCGAGCTCCTCAGGGGCGAGTTGGCTGGAAAATTCAAAATTGGTTTGTTGACAGGATCTAACTTCTAAGCCAATGTTGTTGTCGTCTAAAACTGCGCTTAAAAATAATGTTGCTGCCGGGGATGCTTGATAGTCTGGGCTCGGGATCGATGCGCGATAGGACGCAGCAATCATCATCGCTCGTTACTATCAGGTACGTAATAATAATGCAGCTTCTTGAAAGCAGCTGTCATTTCACTCCGACGCAGGGAGTCCTAGCAGTTCTGAAAGTGCGACCACCAGCAGCTTGTCTGCATATACAGGGGTGGCAAAAAAAAAGAGACACTTTGCCCATGGCGCACATCATCGAACTTTTCGTCAATATGACGTCATCTGCCGCCACCGTCGAGCTCAACGAGGCTTACCGTAATCGCTCCGGCCTGAAGCTGCTACATAATTTCTTCAATGGATTAACTGTTGAATAGCTTCCCAGAGACATAGCTGTGACTGTGCAAAACCGCTTTTGACCAGCGTTTCAGGGACGTCGTAATGGTCTATGGTACCTCGACGACCTCGTTGAGCTCGTACCGTGAACCATGTTTCCGTGGGAAAATCTTCTGATGTCGTCGGTGTAGAAGGCTGTCATGTAACTTTAGATAGATTAGAATGTGCTCTTTAATACTAAGTTGGGCAGTCATTTGATTCTAGCAAAGTGTGATTAATGCTGTCTGAAATGTGGAGTGAAGTGTCTCTTTTTTTGGCCACCCCTGTATGAGGGGTATACCTGTGTTCAAGTTTAAAATCATCACCAGCTATACAATTAAGCACACCTCATTTCTGCAAGAGGGAAGTTTTGCAGCAGTGCGTTCGCGGTCTTCTTAATGTATGCCGTTAAGCCGATAGAGCTGCTATATGGCTTCAAAGGTGAGAATGTAGCTCGGGGAGAGGAACCCCAACATCAAATCGAGTAGAGTTGCGGAAAGACACTCATAGCTGGACGCAATCACCATATCCTCCGCTAAGATCCGTGGCCTACGACCGCTACGTCGATCCCCGTCGCAATACTCGAGAATGGGTGCTACCTCTCTGATTCTACACTCTCCTCTGATCTTCCTGCGATCACCATGCAAGCTCTCGGAGAGGGAGCTTTTCAGGTATCCAATTTTGTACAAATCCCAGGCTAGTATCCCTATCTAATGGATGTACACTCGGAGCTTGCGAGAACCAATGTCGCTGGTGGAGCAAATTTTTCGAGTCAGAGCCAGGAAAATTCTATTCTGAAGCTGTCAAAAGTCTGTCCGAAAAGTGGGACAAGTAGTGGAAGTCTGCTCGAAAAGTGGGGCAGGTAATGTAGTAACGTGACGGTTGTTACTTAGTTGATAAACACGTCTTAGTTTATGTAAAAACTAATAGAAGTTTATGTTATAAATTGCGAGAACTTCGTCTACAATTCAAAAGGTAATCAAAACACCGTGCCCCGAATTCCAACCTCTCGGCTTCTTATCTCAATTTCGTGGAGTTTTGGTTCTCTTAAAACTGTCGATTCAACTGAAAAATGTTGCAGCTCTATATTCGCGCGAAACATCTTCGCAACGTAATACACTATTACCGACACAAAAGTTGTTTTCCAATTATTTTTGCATACCTTGAAGAATGCTTCTTGCAGAAATGCAGCTCTGGTTTCCTTGTCTACTCGTTTCTTGCTCACATATTCTTAAAATGTGAAGGCTACGGATATGGTTACGACTGCGGATGCTATCAGCAGCAACAATCTGCGCAACCGATACCGGTTCCAGTGATTGAGCCTATTCCAGTAATTGAGCCTATTCCAGTGATTCAGCGTATTCCATTCCTGGGCCGGAGATCAATATTCGGATCTCCTTTCAGAAGACGATTTCCATTTCTCGGTATGCTAAATGCAGCGAGAACTGAAGGTAACTGCGTTCCTTTTTATCGCGATGCCAAACTCATCCATTGACAAGGTGCGCTCAATATTAGCAACTCCCTATTGCCGAAACATTTAACTGTCAGCGATAAGTGGGAAGAACACAAAAAATGCAGTAAAAAGCAAGGATCCAACGATAAGTCTATTTTCTAATTGTAAGGTGAGTTTCAAGTGGGTATCGCTTTTCAGTGCAGCTGTCGTTAATTCTATTGATTGATTACTTTCGCACACGCTCGAGTAAACACATGTATTCTACATGTTACTCAAGCATTAACCTTGATAAATCCTCTACCCTCAGTCAATTCTTTATTCAAGCACTACCGAGACGCGCCGGTATGGGGCAAGACTCATCATCAGCTGATAAGCTCGAAATGAAGGAGAGAGATCCTTCATTTCGAGTTTATCAGCTGAGGATGAGTTCAGTTATCCTAACACGTCGCGCATTGGCAAGATCCTAAGAGTGAAATTTTGTTTCATATGTTTCAGGTGCGATCGCAGGGGCACAAGCTGGAGCACAAACTGGAGCGTTGGCAGGAGCATTAAACAGTGGTTGTACAAGTTGTAAATAGAAAAAGTGTCTGTGTAGGAACTTATTTATTATATCTCCAATGATATGAATAATAAACACTTATTTTTCAGTTATGGCTCCATAACTCAAATTTGATCACACCTGAACAGATGGGCGTTCGTCATTGAACGTAGATGCAGCTTCGGTATTATTGCGCTGTTGGGATCATGGCTTCCAGTCCGTCGCTAACCTCGAAGGGTCGTCTTTAGGTTCTGCGAACTTGCATGTTGCTCTCTATAGGATATCTAGGTGGATCAAAAAGCGCACGTTTGCCCTGCAAAGAGTTGGAGAAGGACACAGGAAAAGATACAAGTAATGCAGAAGCGAACAAATGCGTCCAGAATGCACCCCATCTCTTGGCTTCCATCTATACCCGCAAGAGCTTTGACCTTCTCCTAAATTCTGAAGTTGTCTCGAATCATATAAGGATCTCCGTTATTTTCTCGTGGAAAACCCTTGTGAGGTACTTGAATGTTTCGAAAATTTTAGGATTAGGCTTGGAGGCAGGACACCCACCTCCCAGATTGACTACAAATTTGGAGTGCTAAGTGACACGCAACAAGAAAAGGTGGAAATGGTCAACAAGTTCAGTATTTCTATACAGGTCATCGGAATGTGGATGTGGCTTGGACCATGTTGACTTGTGTATTGACTTTACATAGAAAGCATTAGTCTGAAAGTCATGAAACCTCGTGCTATTGAAAATGCTGATAAATATAATATCTTGCAGTCACTTCATTATATACTTTGGTGTGACGGTTTGTTTGTGTGTATGTATATACGCCTGTCTGTCCGTGCGCAAAATGAAATGAGTGATAAGGCAGCTAATGGAATGAACAGGTAACAAATCTGAACAAATCTGAGCAGGGTTGCGGTGTTAAAATTTAGCTTTGGCATGACTGAGATAACACCCCAGCGGCCATACAAACACCTACGTAGCACACTTCTGGCCATTCTTCAAGGTGCTGGAGAACAGTGGAGGGGGAGGGGGAGTAAGGAGAGGAGGAGGATCGCAGAGCTGACGTAGGAAAGGGAGGTTCCGGGGAACCAGTCTGGAGAAAAAAATAAAAATGATAATAAAATTGATAAAAAAAATGATAGAATGTAGTTTATCCCGCTTTAAACGTGGAGAGAGACACTTTTCGGATCCCTGTATAGTGCAACACAGCCATAGATTTTAAAAACTACGAGCAGGTATTCACGACAGGAAAAATCTTTAATTAACAATCGCAAACTAATAACCTCGTAGCCCTTGGCAGAGAAAGCCAAATAGAAAGTTTCATAGCAATCAGCATTTATCCTCAGCTAAATTGGTATGGGAGCCTTTTTTTGCATTTCTTCTTCCCAGTGTTCGCCATCGAATGCAGTGAAACGCAGTTCTTTCACCGTTGGAGAGTCTATACAATGCGGCATAATACCTGAAATTACATGGTTCCAAAATTAACTGCAACATCTTCTTTATTTCTTCGCGCTCTACTCGAGAGTGCCACTCATGGTGGGAAGAAAACGCCGCTTTTCACTATGGATCGGATAGATGATTTCAACTTCTACGCTAATGCGCTGAAACGGTTTCTGAATATCTTGAAAATTTCAAGTGAATAAACCACTGTTAAAAAAAGGAAAAAGATATCAAAATCGAAAAATCATGAAGCTGGGCGTTGCAGACAGCCCTACTATCCTACGGGGCACACATCTGTTCTTTAACAAAATTAATCATATTCATGTCAAAAGCACACTTGAATCACTGAACAATGGAACGTCCCAGTCACTATTACAATTCACTTGCGTCACGCACCCATAGATTTGCCTGCTCCGGGGCTCGTGATTGCCGCATGAATCATTCGGCTGTAACTCAATTTTACAACCCGGGATCTCAAATATTTATGTTTTGATGAAATTTCGTCCAAAGGTATCTCGACGCCCTTATTGTGAAGGTCAGATTCGTTTTTATGCTCATTTTCTCTTTGTCTACTCCCTCTCACTGATTAAATCGCGATTAGAGCTCGGCCTTTCAGGAGAAGAGGACTTCGAGGAGGCTGAGCCATACACCTTAGTTATAAGCGTTCACGGGCACTTACGTACCGGGGAAAGCCATAGGAGAGCGGAAACCATGAGCTACAAACAGCGTTACACTTCAAAAACGAATCTCGATATCCCGTCGAACGAGCACCGCCATAACTAACCCTAAATACTCGAAGCATTCACGAATTTGATGAAATCAGCCGTCGCCTAATAGATGACATCGCCACAAGTATGAGCTGGCCATTCCAGTGAGGACGAATTCCCTCCCGGAGGGGGAAAGCAGGTTGTCGAAAATCTTTTTGACGGTTGTTCGGAATTTGTAATAAGATTAAAAGGATCAGTATAGCACGGAGGCATTGAAGGAACCAGTCTTCAGAGCCAAGGCAGAACGACAATATGTTGTATGGCAAAGCTTTCAAAGGCTTGCTCCTTCCTTCAAACTTTTTTTGTTGACGTTTACAATCACTCATCAGGAAGAAATATAATAGATTAGCGGCTGCATACCCTTTCTTTAAAGAACTTCAAGTTCACTGGCTGTCGCTGCCACACTGACGAACTTTTAATGCCACACATTGGTAATGGCTAACGATATCGACAACATTCTCGGAAACGCGTCCGATCATGTTCGTGATTGATTTGGGAAGTGCCAAGTAAAAAAGGCTAAGAGTTTTTCAGTAAAGATCGGGTTCAAATCGGCGAATTCCAATTACATCACATGTGAGAAACGAAAATCAAAAAAAAACCAGGTGACGAACATATCACGTTTTAGAACCAGTGACCTGTGAATAGTCAGAGTGAGGGCGCCAAATAATATTGCACCACTTTTCCTCACTTGTAACTTTTTCCAAAATGGATGTATCTTCAAGAGGTTTACAAGATTTCAGATTTCAGCAATACATTTACATATTGAAAGGAATGACATTCATTGGATATGCTCCTGTTGTTGTGAGTATGGCTCCCAATTGCTTCGAACGCAACTCTACTGTGGCCCGCATGGCATCCTGGGGTGTTCTCTTCAAAACTTTGCAGAGAAAAGGCTCCGGCTCATCCTACAATGTTTAGTGCAGGCTCTTTCCCCTAACATAGCCCATATAGGATGGTCTAGCACGCTTTCTCGAGGTATAGGAGAGCCCTTCGTTCGAGCCCATATAGGATGGTCCACCACGCTTTCTTGAGGTATAGGCCATTCGTTCGAGGATGTGAAATCGGAAAGAGTGCCTTAACAGCGCTCCTGAACAATTTTTGCCTCCTATGCAGAAGCTGGGTCCTATTGAAAAGATCATCACCCCTCCTCAAAGTGGCTAGATACCTCAGTAACAGATGGTGCACCGAAATGTCCCTTGGCTCGGTCTAGTATCAAGTTGTATTCCTTTGTAAACAGGCAGTGATGGTGAGCGACCGGTAGTTGAGACTGCCGTCCAGACCACGATAAGGTTCGGTTTCTGCTTAGGGCGAGCATCATGACATCCTGCGGGCATCTTAGGAGTTTGAAGATTGTACCTCCGCTCCATGTGAGGAATTTTGTTGTCGATGAAAACTTTTATTGATCTCCTCTTCAGTGCACGGTAGGCCGCGGAGCGGTTGAAAATCCAAAGAAGCGCGATGCTCATCACCGGATGTCCGACCTAGCTGTGTGAGAGGTTAGGCACTCTTTTGAAGTTTAGGCGCACCATGAGATGCAGCCGAACGGTAAGCCGTGGAATTTGGCATGGTCATTGACAAGAGGATAGAGGATTGAAAGGTCTGCGAATCTCGGAAGAAAAGCTATAAACACCTACAGAATTTGGGCTCATTGGTGCAATACTTATGGGACACCCTGTAAAACGTCGACACAAAAGGAAGAGGCTTTTGTTGTCAAATTATTCTTCATACACCGAAATTTACTTTATCTCTGTAGCCGGACAGTAGTTAATTAGAAAAGAAAAGTTCAGTTGTATTGGTGTGTAAGGAAAAAAATGTACTGATGTCAAACCAAAGACAAATAAGCGACCCTCTAGCGGGGCCTACACTTGAGTTCTACTTTCTCTGCGGATGGGCTTCCCACTAGCGAATTGGGAGGTCCAGCCTACGAAAATTAGCCAAATCGTCAATAAACTCAAACTCTATTTTCCATTGGGATATCATTCAATGATGTACCATGCACTTTGTCACGACGTCTTCCAAACACATCGCTATTGGGTTGACCCCAGGAAACTGTGAATTCTTCTTCGCCAAATTAGACTGTTTTTTTGCCAATACCCCATGGCTGACCGATACTTCGTTCAATGAGTACATGTAGTTTCTACCGTCGTTGGAAAACGCGTGCCACGTGTTAAGGATATTGCGACCAAGACAGGGCAAGTCTCTGATAAGTCTCTGATGTCATCAT